GGCTATCACTGGTTGGAGCTATCTGTTACCCAGGTGAAACATCTGGAAGCTATAGCAGAGTAGTATCTTGGAAACCTTCCCTACCCAGCATCTGCAACCAGCTGATAGAGAGGCCAGGAATAGAAAGCGCCCTTCCATTCCTTGGCATTTGTATGGGCAAAATAGAGGAGACCAGGAGGAGAAATGGTACCCAGTTTCCCAAGGTCCACTACTAGCTAACAGGTGCCGAGGGGAGATGCAGTGGGAAACAAACAGTACAACTCACATGCATGGTGTTCATAGACCAAAAGCAAGCTTAGCTTTAAGCAAGAGGCTGTTCAAACATAGTATGAAAATAATCTATATTTTTTTTAAATTAAGGCTAGGAATTTTGGATATTTTTGCATCCAGAGAAGATTTCTTCCCGTGGCTCAGAGTAAATAGGACAACAGGGCAGTAAGTAGCATCAGATTGTGGTTATGAAAGATACTTTTATGTAAGTACTTTTTCATGCCTTGTGAAACTAAATGTGAAAATCCATTATCACTACATACTAAAAAAATTGAAATATCCAGATATTTATGTTGTGAGCCAACCAAAATCAAAACCAAGTGTTTCAGTGTGGAATTTCCAGTTCTCAAATACTTTTAAAAGATGCTTTATAGTTGTAGTATCAATCCAAGAATCCTCAAGTCAATATGCACAACACTAAAGCAGTCTAGCCACAAACAAGAATTCTGGCAACATGACCCACATCATGCTAGTTACCTCAATTGCCATGAAATATGCTTGGGATTTTCAATTTTTATCTTTTACAAGCTAAAGCAAAGAAATCTGCTGTTTAGAATATTGCAGTTTTCTCTGCTTAACAGCTATTATGATGTAAGACGAAAACTGTCATCATTATTGCATGTTATTTGGTCATATTATTCATGAAATGAGGCTGTTGCATTCTGGAACAAATAAAGATAGATTTCATACTCTTAGTAGTTTGCCATGTAAATGAACATCATAAACCAGACATAGATTACAACACAGGCATGCTGAATACATGAAAAGAAAGGAAATATGATAATATCATATATTAGGGACCTGCTCTTTGTGTATGGAACAAATATTTCTAGTGCTAACAAATCCATCCAGCTGTCAGCTTGCAGTAATGAAGTATGCAACTTAAAAAGTACACAATGATTTCCAGCCTTGATGGATTATCACTTAACCCAAAATTCAGTGCTGTACAGATAAGTATCACAATTGGTTGATGGTCTGATAAAGATTCCATTATATAGCTGAGCTCCGGAGAGGCTTCAGCAATGTGTCAGGAATTCAAACATTCCTAACCTCAGCTCTGATCACACTGGGTTTTTTTCTACTGCATATGAATTATGCAGTCTAACAGTCTCTATTGTAAGCTAGCAGTAGGAAAGATTTTCCAAATTAAGAGTCCCTTCTGCTAGAAGCATGTTCACTGCCTGCAAAGAAGGTCCTTTGCTCTGAATTCATCCTGAGACTTTCCCTCAGGTGCTACAGACTGTAGGGTCATCAGTATCACCACCTCTATGTAAAGCATAACATCAAAGACAATATAGAATATGTACTGAAGACTATGGCCAGCAGGTCGAGGGAGGAGATTCTGCTGCTCTCCTCTGCTCTGGTGAGACCCCACCTGGAGTCCTGCATCCAGCTCTGGAGCCCTCAGCACAGGAAAGACATGGACCTGTTGGAGGGGGTCCAGAGGAGGGCCACAAAAATGATCAGAGGGATGGAGCACCTCTCCTGTGAGGACAGGCTGAGAGAGTTGGGTTGTTCAGCCTGGAGAAGAGAAGTCTCTGGAGATACCTTATTGGAGCCTTCCAGTACTTAAAGGGTGCTTATAAGAAAGACTTTTTAGCAGGGCCAGTTGCGATAAGACAAGGGGCAATGGTTTTAAACTAAAAGAGGGCAGATTTCGACTAGATCTAAAGAAGAAATGTTTCACAGTGAGGGTGGTGAAACCCTGGCACAGGTTGCCCAGAGAGGTGGTAGATGCCCCATCCCTGCAAACTTTCAAGGTCAGGCTGGATGGGGCTCTGAGCAACCTGATCTGGTTGCAGATGTCCCTGCTCATTGCAGGGGGGTTGGACTAGATGGCCTTTAAAGTCCCTTCCAACCCAAACTATTCTATGATTCTATGGTTCTATGTCTGTCACCATACTGACCATTTTCATCTGACATCTAGTTGAGTCGTGGCCCCAATCATAACATTTCCTACATTTTATTAATGTTTAGTCATTTTCAGTATTCAGATGTAAACAAGACATGAAACCTATGTTGTTCATACTAATTTCATACTCCAGTTACGCTTAATAATCTTGTGACTTTCAAAATAATTAAAAAAGAAGTTTTGTTATTTGTACCTACTGCTTTAAAAGCCAGAATTCCACTGATTTTGAGAGACTAAAAGTCTCAAGTATTTATAGCTCTACAAGCACTTTGGCTTGCAAATTGGATAAATGAGCTTATCCCATCTAGCTGACGGGTAGCTTTGTGGTTTGGATGAATCTGGATTGGATGTCCGAAGAGAGACAGAGTACTTTTAGTGTATTGTCAGTGTTGCCTGCAGTGTCCCATAAGCTTGAGAATGACCTGCAAATTTGTGAATTTACATGGTGAAGAATTTCTTTTACAGGAGAACAGACTGTAATATGCTTTCTTCTATATAATACCTTATACATACATAAGCATTAATTTTCAGTGGAACTATATGTAGTTTAGTATGTTATTCATAGATTAAAATCTGTGATCTGCTAAGTCCAAAGGGACCTACTGGGTCAGTTAGACTAAATTCTTGTAAAGATTCCACTCTCACAGATTTATAATGAGGAACAGAAACCTTTACTTTATTAAAGATCATCCACCAGAACATATATAGACTTAATTTAGGACCTAAAGAAATGGAGAATCCACGATGTTCCTTGGTGTTTCTCTTCAGCAGTTAACTATCCTCATTGTTACAAATTTGAGCCTTACTTCTCAGTGAAATTTTGAGGTTAACAACCTTGCATTTGTTCTTGTTAAACCTCTCTCCAGTAAACAAGCCGCCTCATTCCATATGTATTTTCTTCTCAAAAGTGAATATTCATTGCAAAGAAGACTCTGTAAACATGCTTCAAAATTTGTTGTTGGGCTTCATCTGAAAGAATTGAATCTATGCTCTTTAGGATCCTATTAAGACTTTTGATTGATTTGTTCTGTTTTAAAGGCATTGTCAAGCATATCTTCAATGATGAGTTTTAAGGGAACTACAACACATTTCTTTTACCAAGAAGAAAGATTAGGCAGATAATTACTGTTGAATATGTTTCATTGTTGCTGTATTTATATCAAAACACAAGGATAAAGTAGATTTATTTTATTTAGAGAGATATTTATGGTATTTAAAGACAGCACCAGTGAAAACCAAGATCTTTTTTTATTATGTTACTTCATAAGGCAGATTTTCGCAAGTACTGTGCTGTCAGGATACTGTTGAAGTGCTTCTCTGTCAAAAGCAAAAGTATACAACTAAGCGTCATTACAGTTAACAACAAGGACAACTAAAGCAACTGTTCCAGTGTCATGTGGGATGTTAAAAAAAGACTGAAACAGTGCCGACAAGGTCTAAAAATGAGCAACGGAAAGAAAAAGAGAGAAAAACGCTTATAGCTTCAAATTTATTGCTAACACCTTTAATAAAAAATGCACGTCTTTCTCACTAACCAGTGAACTGAAGTCATCAACTGTGCCTTTGAAGCTGAAAAGATTACTCTCACTGCCCTTGGTTTCTCTGGCTCTCCACTTGAGACATAGTTATTAACTTCCAGTGTGAACCTCACAAAATACAGAATTGATACTAATTATATTAAGTTTTTTCGGATGGAAAATGACCTTGGTAACACTCGAAGATACAGCATTCCCCAAAATAATAAAGAAAAATCTACACAGAGTGACTTTGGAGATTATTTAATCTGACCTACTAATTATTGCGTGTGAGTTTATTCAGATAGCGAATTCAAAATAGGGTATTCTTAAGGTAATACTGCAGCATTTTTCAGAGCATTGAAGTCAGTTCCCGAGCAATCCCCCTTGTTTGCTGCATTAGCAATTTTGGGTGTCTGTTCTGCGTTGACTTCGGAGACGGCACCATGGAGAAAACTGGGTGCCATGGTGTTCGGAGAGGCTGCCTCATATGCTCCGGCTTCCCAGGAGCAGCTCCCTCAGGAGCTGGCAGAAGCCTCAGGGGGCATACTGGGCCTGGGTCTCCTCCCGGACCCACCTGGGCCCCCGTAAGGGATGCCATACTTCATGTGGGTTATTTTCAGGGCGCTGTGTACACGGTGATGAACGGGCTGAGTAACAGCGCGGCACGGGTGTGTTTCTAGAGCAGAATGCCGAGCATGTGCCTTGCACGTCTCGGTGCTCCATGCCAAAATCCTGAAGGTGCAGGGCCTGCTGCGGCAGCGGTGCATGTCTCGGCTGCCCTGTGCTTCTGAGAGTAGGGTTAAAGTGTGTTTCCTTGTTACAACTGAGAGGGAGAGAGACTAGAAGTACAAAGAGAGCATTGCTGTAGTTTTATTACTTTAAGACTCTAAACCAAAAATCTTTAAAGGCTAATATTTTGGTGCAGTGTGGCCATAGCACTGGGTGCAAAAAAGCAGAGTCACCAAAGCTGAAGGGAAAAAAGGTGAAAAAAATCAAATACCAATGTTTTAAAAGATTAGCTTAAAACACACCTCAGAGGAAAGAAGCAGAAGTCCGGTTTGAAGTGTACAGTATCAGAAATGGCTGTACCTAATCACAGCTGAGTTTGTTTTTTCCGTCATAAAAATTGAGAAAGAGAGCGAATTGCAAACTCATCTACTCTGAGAAATACAGGGTGGAAAACCTTATTCAATAACACTTGACTCACTGTTTGGCTGAGTATAAAAGACTGAACGGGAAAGCACAAATGGATGTGACTGAAAAAATGAAATTCAGAACCAACACAAGGAAGTACTTTTCACTCAAAGAGAAATACAATTTTTCAATAGCCTACTGAGCCAAGTTTGGAATTGGAGGCACCGGGGTCATTAAAGAAGAAGGGAGATACTATTCTGGAGGAACTGTGTTAAGCACGATGACTTGCAATGGGCTGAATGGCCTTTTCCTTTTCCCCAAATTTATGTTCTTTTTGAAAAACTCTGATTACAAGTCATCCTGCTGTGATTTAGATAGCATGAATTTGAAAAGAATGCATCAAATCCTTTCAATCAAGATGCTTGGGTTTCTTTCCAGCCTGAATTCTTGCAAGCCTGTAATACAAAACCATCAGTCAAAGGAAAGAAGTATCAGGAGTAGCAATTTACGTTAATATACAATTTCCTTTTCCGGCATAAAGAGTAAGAGACAAAGATCCTGGGCAACAAAGGCCAGAATATAAATCTTTATGGGAAAAAGTTATGGGTAGTCAAAAAAAGAAAAGGAAAAATCCCCAAGGTTGACAGATCCCCAAGACTGACAGTTGAAGGAAGCCATTCTCTTTATTTTATATACTTTTCTCATGGCTAACAAGTCTCTACTGTATACACATTAGGTCATGAACTGCATTCAGCACCCTGCAGGGAAGAGACAAGTTTCATTTTAATGAATTCAAAGTGCCCTGTTGGTCTTTAGCATTGACTTTGGGCCAGGTCCTTGGACATACTTAACAAGAAGCTAGCTTTTATGACTATATTAATTTGTTAGAGAATCGGAACATCGTAGGAGGTCAATATGTAAAGCCTTCCCACTTTTCTCCTTTTTGATGTAGTTTTCAATACAGACTTAAAAGGAATATTTGTAATGTTTAGGTATGAGTTTGACTTATCTACTGTCTCCAGTGCAGGAATTCACTCTGTTCCTGGGCTGAATTGCATTCTTGGGCACACTTAGAGATTCTTTGGCACAATTACTGCCACCAACCCTGAACTTGTTCATCCCTTTAAATGCAGTTTTGTTAGTGTGAGTGCTGGGTTGCTATTGTATGTGGACATGTATATGTCCGATTGTCTTTTTTTTTTTTTTTTTTTAAGATAATCTTGTGTGTTTTGCAAAACAATAGCAACCCTGGGTTATTTAAGTTTTTAAAGGTTGCTTAATTCCAGAGCCCTGTCCCTCCAGTCTCTCTCTGAAGCATCTGTTCCCAGTACTTCCGGAGTTAGTAATGCTGAGAAGAAATTAGTCTTTTATTACAATCAGGTTGGCTTTCCTCCACCACAAGACCTTGTGCCAAGTAATTTGTAAATGGTTTTATGGATTCCCAGTCCCTATGGGACTTTTTTGTTGTTACTCTTATCATAAGTGCCTGTATTATAGAATGACTATGGAGGAGTGTGCTAATTGTTTTTCTGTGATTGAAATGTCTGCTTCTTTACTTCCTGGTGCTTTTGAGTAGTATCCACTAATTCTTACCAAATAATTTCTGTAAAAATTTGCTGCAAATTGCTACTATGACACTCAGATATTTTAGTTTCAATTTCCTGTGCAGAATGGACTTCTCTATATTTATTATGCAATATGAGTGGACTGTAGGTTTTTTACATAAATCTAAATCCTTCTCAACCAAATAAGCAGTCAGGGGAGTAATTCATACACAAGAGAAATTCACAGTAGTATGTGGTTGCCTTCAGCACCATAATAAAATAGATGGGTTGTATGCAGTGTGAAACATCTTGTTCTTGGTATATTTGCAGTGTTATGGAGAAATTAAGAACATCGGGAAAGTTCAAGGGCAAGAAACTACTTCTGCTTTTATAGTCAATGCTTGCATGCACTTGTATATAATAACAGAATAAATAATATTCATAATAAGAACAACACATGGGTCAGTCTAAAACGCATTTTCTAGTAGGTCTGTTTTATTAAAAAAGTGATGAACTGTTAAGCTGTCTGTTCTGAAGACAGAACACAATGAGCAGGTTCTAGGGCTTTGGATATTAATGCTGCTCAAATATGTTCAGGATTTTTTTGTAGTTTTTTTTACTCTTGAAAATAATCTGAGTTGTCTTATGTTACTGTCTACTAACCTGTTTATACTGTCCCAGTTCCTAGTCTGTCTGAACAAATTTCAAAATCCTAATGCATAAAACCATTTTGTGAAGAATTCTCTGAATATATGGTGGATGCATGGCAGCACTTGAGCTTAGTTCTGTGTTCAAGCACAATCATAAATCACACTTTTTATTGAATGTAAATGAAAATTAGACATGCTCAACAGCTAGCATGTGCTTTAAAAAGAGGTCGTATATAACACGGTTTTCATTCCCTTGGGGATCATCTGGTTAGGGTTTTGTGGGATTGGACATATCTTAAACCCTTGTCTCTCTTTTGACTTGATGGCTAGAGAATGATGCTGATAATTCTTCACGTTTTCACGAACTTTACTGGAGAAGGCAGAGTAAGCTTTTAATGAGTGTTTAAAATCACAGGTGTCTAAAATTGAATGGGTGTGTCATTGGCCAAACAGATGGTTGAGGAAGGCAATAGGAGAAACAAAGATGGAGAAATTAAAGAATATGAGAGGCTTCAAATTAATGAGAATCTTCTGTGCATAGTAACATCTCCAAGTTGCCTATTGTTGTCCATTTCACCCTTGTATTTCCCTATCACACTTTTTGTTATTATCACATGCTTTTTATTTATATCACTTTTATTATTGATTACCCGATTTTAAAAAGGAAGTAATTTACTTGGGGAAGTATTTTGGATATGCCCATATTTAAATTGCTCTATTTATTCAGAGTCTTAGAATTGGCATTAATTCATCAAATTGAGGAGCAGCTAAGGACTCTGGGTTTGTCTAGTTTGGAGAGAAGAAAGCTGAGGGGCGACCTCATTGCTCTCTACAGCTTCCTGAGGAGGGGACGTGGAGATGGAGGGGCTGACCTCTTCTCCCTGGGATCCAGTGATAGGATGTGTGGGAATGGTTCAAAGCTGCATCAGGGGAGGTTTAGACTTCACATTAGGAAACATTTTGCTACTGAGAGGGTGATCAAACACTGGAACAGGCTTCCTAGAGAGAGGCGGTTGATGCCCCAAGCCTGACAGTATTTAAGAGTATTTGGACAATGCCCTTTGGACATGCTTTAACTATTTGTCAGCCTTGAAGCAGTCAGGCAGTTGGACTAGATGATAGTTGTAGGACCCTTCCACCTCCCCTCTCCCCTCTCCCCCCTCGCCATCTCTCTCCTCCCCGCTCTCGA